GTCGGGGGGGGGGGGGGGGGATACAGAAACTCCAAGGGGAATACAAATACAGTTTCAGATCAAGGAAAAGAGTGCTTGAACTGGATGCGACTAACTCGATGACAGCGTAAGTCACGGTGGATTGAAGTTTTGGGCTGCTCTTGAAACTGCAGCCGAAGATGAGAACTCTGGGAAAAAGTTGGAGCTGAATAAAACAAAACAAAACAGAACAGACTCAGATGGCATTAATTGTTTTCGACATCAGGAAGCTCTTGTTTATTAAACAAGTAAAACGTGCTGCTTGTTCCAATATTTAACCAATCATGTCTCAAATGAGAGTAAGAAAATAAATAAAATCCAACAAAGAGAAATTTGCATCCACACGGGGGACATTGTTTCATTTCGTGTGGATTTTGTTATCTTTGTTTCATGGTAAATAAGGAGTTGCAGGAGGAGAGAGAGAGAGGGCCATTCCACAAACTATTTGTTTTGTAAAAGACTTAATGTAGTGTGAAATTAAACCCCTCCTTAAAAAAAAAAAAAGCGGCATCCTCTGCAGCATCAAAAGCAGCACGGTCGCCACTCGTGGTGCTCAAGCTTGTCCAGCCAAAAAATGAAACCGATCCATTTAGGGACGATTGGGAGGTGAAAAGTGATGGATGGCATTTTGCAATTTGAAGAGAACTCGTCCTGCTTTCACTTCCCATTGTTGTATAGAGATTGGCCATGCGTACGTTGTGTTTGGTTTTCCTTGCCATACTCACATAAATAGTTACGCGTTTCATTCTTCACCCTTTGAGGGACAGCGGTTACTACAGTGGACAGCTTATCAGGTTACAGGATGCGTGAAAGAGTTAATTTTTTGTTTTTTTTAACCAGACTATAGACTCCCACACTATAAATTAACACTTTTCCTGCAAATAAATGAGCACAACTTTGCCATGCCCCCCCATCTCCATGTGCCTGAAATTCTGTTGGGAAGAGAGCACCGAGAGAGCCCTGCACTGTAAAATCCTTTCGCGCCCCGGCCCAAAAGCTTAATTCTGCGCTCTCTCTTGCCGAGTGTGGGCGAGAGTGTCTACTTGCGCTTTGCTCCTACAGGTAGAAGAATCGGTCAGCCCCCCGCGGGACACCTCTCACTGGGTCAACAAAATGAGTCGAGATCTGTTGTGACCTCTGGGTTATTAATCTCTCCATGGAGCCCTTCTCCATTACTCTGTGCTGGTAAAAGGAGAGACGGCACCCAGCCGTGCTCCTTTTTATCCTCCTCTTCCTCACTCTTTGTGCGCCTCGAACACGCGCTGCAATCCTCCTCTCTGCTCCTCTCGCATCATGCACTCTCCCCTAAGCTTCAAATCCAGCTTTCCGCACTTGCGCACAAACTGACAGCAGTCGCGCGCCGAGAGTTAATGTTATAGTTCAAGCTTCACGTGTCAAGTGGGCCAGAAATGTGTCTCCGTGTCTGTGTGTACATATGTCGTGGCATCCTGAGGGCGACCGTTAGGTCGAGGGTCAGTCGGTCTATCATTTCGCAAGTTCTCGTTGTCCACTCCTTCTGTCACTCGCCACTGGAGATAAATAAGTGGCCTATTGTGACTCGGGTGTGTGTGTGTGTGTTGAGGTAAGTGTCTGGGAACAGCTCAACTTGGCCTTGCGTCAATGCGACTTAAGTGCAGCCATGCATAACCATCTGACAGCTCCCCCCCAGCCCCCCCAGTTCATCCTGCCCTCCTCTCCACTCGCTTGCCCCCTTCTGCCACATCCCAGTTGCTAACCCACAGACAGGGAGATCATTTTTTTCCGGCTACACCAAGTGCTAGACACAAGCGGCTGAGGGAGCCGATTGGTGAACACGAGGGGACCGCGAAACAGACATTAAAAAAACGACGCAGGGAAACCATGACAAAACTAGATCTATTCAAAACCAAAACCCAACAAAAACACAGGTCATGACATGAAGTGTGACAAACATGCAAATAAAAAAAAAAAGGGGGCGGGGAACACATTTTCATGCGACTATTTGATCATCCCCTCGAGGAGCATCCTCAGCTCTACCGCAGTCAAAAAGAATTTGTTTTTCGCTAAGAGCCAATTTCTGACTCAGCATCTCATTCTTACCTCCTGGAATGTCCAAATTGCCCTCATGGAAAACATATTTCGGGAATTGCTGCTGTGTTCAGTGCAGGTCAGACACTGTGGAGGTGAATGGCGCCAAAGGTGCTACTGATGTCAGACTGTCCGGTTGCTGCCGTCAACAGTAACTGATCCAGAGATAATAGTTGGATATTAACCCTTTCATACACCAACAATGATAACCAGTACCGTGATAACATGATGCTGTGTCCCTGAAAGGGTTAAATATCATTTTAGGTGTCTTAACTGCGGCAAATAGTAAATTGCTAACTGTGAAACAGCAGGATTTCACATTGCTATAAATACTGTCTATTTGTGTCCCCATCACGAGTCAACAAGCATACTGTGTCAAAGACCAGTTGAAGATAAAAATACCAAACATTTTGGGAATAGCTCTAATTTCTATGGCACCACAAAAAAAAAAAAGGCTGCTTGGGAAATGAGCTATAAAGGCTTTCTGTTTCAAAAGTGAGATGATTTCACTGTGCTGGGCTGGTTTCCCTTCTGGCTGATGAAGAGGGAGGGGTGGTGGGGGGGCTCTCACTTTCAACATGGCCCTCTCAAGCAGCACAACACAACAGTAGTTGAAATGGAAGCCAAATTCGTGTCGGCAGCCTTCTCTTCATCCCTTAGCTAATTACCTGCAGAGTGGCTGTATGCTTATTAACTCTCCCCCTTTAAAAAAAAAAAAAAAAGTTTATTCCAGGCCTTAGAAGTCAATCAGAAAGCAAGTGCATTCAAAGCAGCTAAAAATAACAGCCATCTTTTATTAGCAGTTTGGGTGGGAATATTCAGCAGGGCGAAATGCGGAACTCTGGCAATGTGGTCATCTCATTAAAAAATAAAAAATAAAATAAAGCCGAAATGGTAAAATCACATGTAAACAAGCATGTGTGGGATGTGACGATGCTGCAGTAATGAATAATTCGGCACACTTTAGGGAATATTTTCTTCGTCGCTGAACATTGTTCTTCCGCCATAGGGAGACTTTTCAGCTTTTCTCCCAAAGACTTTTTCAGAGTCGTTCGCCGTGTAAGTTCCAAACGCTTGTCGCTGGCTAAAATGATTCCTGCCACATAAAAGGGCAAATGACATTTAAAGGGAATTCCTGTCCTTCTCTGTGAAGGCCACACACTAAACCCCATGACAAGATTTATTTATCCTAATGAAAAACGTCTCCTCAAGGGACCTTTGCGAATGACCCTCTAACCTTACAAAATGTCCTGACAACAGTGTTAAACTTCTCTTTGCGGTTTGCCGTCCATGAAAAGGATGCACGGAAACTGCGTTTGAAAATTTGATTTTGTGTCGTAGTAATAGATATTTTCCTTTAATGATAGGGGCTGCAGAAATTAGAATGAATTCTTTGATGGAATTGTTCCTACACTTCAGTGGCAGTGGTGGCGGCAGGCTGGCCGAGGGAATTTATTTCTTGCCTAGGATGAGAGATGGTCCCCGGCCAAGACTGCCAAGGGAGGGACGGTTAATTGCAGTAGATTGCCTTATCTTCTTGTAATTATGCCTGTCTCTTTGGAATTTCAGGCTCCAAATGGCCAATCGATACAATCAGACCACAGACAAGGTAGAGACGCAGGGACCCGGACCGGACTTCGGACCAGCGATAGCTTTGATATTGTATTTAAAGAGGGCATGCTTGCTTTGATTGCTTCAGATGATGCTGTATTGCTAATGTGGCTCTTGGTCAATGGCGGGACCGAGCACACAGACTTGATATACAAACAAACAAAAAAAAAAGTATTTTCAGACCTAGACTACAGCGACACATTCAAATTTGGGATAGGCTTCAAGCTCACGCTCCTTTCTTTTTCTATTCAGGACTACAGAGGGGAAAGTAACCCTTATTTGACATGATTTGCGCTGAATGCTTTCAATATCTCGCAATTTAAAATGACGCTTTGTTAATCGTCCTGTCCTTCTCTTTCTTATTGACAGAGGCCCCAGACAAGTACAAAGCACCGATCTTTCACGACAGGAGCCCACCAGACGACTCCACCTGCTCACATTTCCGCCATCGCCTCTCCTGCAGGTAATTGACTTCCAGTCAGATTTGCCTCACTCGTAACACTTCCATAGCTCCATTCTAAGAATGGAGTGAATGCCCCCTTTGAAGAAGGCTGCCGCTTTGGTTCTAAAAGCCCTTGGCACCTCCGCGCTGATTGAGAATCAGGCTGTGTCAGAGTCAAACTGGCAGGTGGAGACTGGAGTTGCATCAGGATCTGCCTTTATCACCGGGCCCCTCTTCAAAGAGAAGATAGGGGTTTTGTGATAATGAGAGGGTAGCTTGAAGGAGTGCAGGAAAGAGAAGAGCCGGGGCTGTTGCTTAGCATTGTAATTGTGACAGGAGCAGCTGCCTTCTCTCCCGGGGTTCCGGGACTCTGCGGTGACACCATCCAGCAGACAGTAATTAATCGAACAATTCTCTCTGTCGAAGGTGATACAAAAGGGGCCGAAGACAGACAGTGAGGGGCAAAAAAAAAAAAAAACAAAGACCTAGACATACTGTACTTAGTAATAAAAGACTCAGTGGACTGGCGAAAATGTGCCAGATATTCCCACTCAGCCATATCAACTCTACAAATGCGCAAAAGTGTTTGTACATTATTTCGGACTAGTTATAGTATAAAGCCTGATCTTGTAAGGCTCGGCTTGACTTGAAACGAGAGCGTTTTGAAGGTACGTTATAAATGCATGCATGAATACTGAAGTGCACGTGGCATCCTTCACACTGTGTGTCAATTAGAGGGAGTTCTCAAGCATCCCTGGGTCTTCAATCAATCAATTCGAAAGCAACGCACTCGATGACCAAAACAACCAAAAACAGCCGTCGAAACAAAAAAATATATATATTTCGTGTAGTGTCCCATAATTAAAATGTACAATATTGAGAACAAAAGTGCAAGAATGTTTTTTTTTTTTTGCTTTTTGCCCAGGCCTGAGCTGGTACAGAATCACTTACTGATCGAAGGATCTCTCTGCATGTAACTGGATATTTTTACGAAAGATGTTGATACAGTTTAGAGAATGTTATAACCCACCCACAATCCTATATTTTAGTTATTTGAAAATATTTTATGGAGGCATAGCAGTATGGTCTCGAGCCAAGGCCTCGTGTATTTCACTAATCCAGGTCAGAGTGTAAATCACACAGGTCTGACGTTCACGATGAGTTACTCTTGGGGCCGTAATGCTAGAATGCACTTGTGTGTGTACGTGTGTGATTTTGTCCGTGCACCATCCTGGCCCCGGTCACGTGGGTGTATCTGCAATGCCGGCCTCGTTAAGCGGAGAGCAATAATTGATGTCAACAGGGTGGCCTCTTCTTACTGTGTCAACATTAATCACCAGGCCTGGATGCCGCCACCCCTCACTGTTCTGCTTAACATTCATTACGCTCTGCTCGAGTCGGATAGAGCCGAGCCATAAATACACATGCACACGCACGGACTCTCGCACACGCGCGCACACTCATTAAAAACAGACACTCCTCCTAAGGTGGATCTCATTGATTTTGTACTTTTGAGGTTTACATGTATTTGTAGCCCACTCGGGAGGAAAACAGACAAGGAAGTCTTTGTTTGCGCCACACACAAGTCACCGTTTTATCACGTCTGCCACAGCGCTGCAATCCAAAGCGCAAAATAATGTCACCTTCTTCAATGATGATATAGCTAGGATCCAGCGAGGCCATTTTCTAGTTTAGTTTAGTTTATTTGGACATAGATCACTAGATTAAAGCACACAAGACTCTCCCGGCTGGCCAGCCCCACAATGACCTTCTCAGCCCTTTTTTGGAAGGAGAACACCTGAGCTGCAGGCCAATCAGGTCAGAGCTCTGCAATTGGCCGTCGACAAGTGGTCGCCATCTCCTTCCCTGAAACAATCAGCTGACCACAAAACGCATGAAGCGCCGCACAATCCATCACTACGGCAACCGTTTTGGATGGAGAGGAATGTGCCCCATCCTCAATCGGCAGTTATTCGGATGGGTCATTTGGCTTTATGACAAATGTAAAAGTGGCTGAATCGTAGCCGGCGGTATTTTGTCTGTGCTCGTGTAGGCTTGCTTTAGGCCCCCCCGGCTTCCTCCCACGTCCCCAAACCACGCATGTTATGCCGTTTATCCAGCTTCTTTCATCTTGGGCATCTGGCTGAAGTAAATCCTCTCCTTTCTCGAGAACACTTTGAAAGAGTAATTCATCACACCCCGGCTGGATTTCTGTCATGCACTTTACTGGAGTCAGCCAAATCCTCCATTGAGTGTCTCCAGTTGTTCCAAAATGCTGCTGCTCACCTCTTGATTGGTATTCGTAAGAGGGAGCATATAAATCCTACTCTGAAATCCCTTAACTGGGTCCCTTTTGTATTTTAGTTCTTTTTAAGATTCTATTACAGTATTTGTTTTCAAATCTTTGAATGGCCTTGCCCCACCTTCCCTCTCTGAGCCCCTCCACCCCTGCACACCTGCCCGGTGCTTCAGGTGTGCGGACCAGACACTATTAGAGGTACCGAGAACCAAGCGGAGGCTCAGAGGAGATCGAGGCTTTTCCCTCTCTTTGGAATGACCTCCCGCTGTAATTTAGGCAAGCCCCCCTCGCTGCCCATCTTTAAAACCCGTCTTAAAATTCATTTTTATTCTTTGGCTTTTGACTCAGCATGAGACTTGAGTTTTATTTGGACTGTTTTTGTGCTTCCTACTGCTTCGTTATGAACTCATTCAGTACCAGCCAATTCTAAACCAAGTCTGGAAAGACGTTTAAAAACGTCTTTGGGAGTGAATGAGTTCATGAATTGTTGTTTGTTGTATGATTTATTTATTTTTGCTCCATCTGCAGCACTTTGTATACAGCCGTGGTTGTTTTCAGTTGCTCTATAAATACAGTTGAGTTGAGTTTACTCCACCTGTCGCCCAAAGTCAAGTGGGGAAGTGTCCCAGCGGCCATTTAGAATCAGCAGTTTATAAAATGGACGGATGTAATTATCTATGTGATTAGAGATGATCAAAGAAAAACTAGCGAGGCATATTGGGGTGTTGTCTCCCTCCAGCCGAACCTCCACTCGGTGTACCTGGTGTTGCATGAGTGTGCTGCTACCTTCATTCGACAAAATATTCCATTAGACACTGCGTGACTGTGAATAATGTGACAGTGTTAACGCTGCTTTCAGTACCTTGAAGGTAGAAAAAGTGGATACAAGCAGAGCCATTTGCTGTGCATTACAAGCCAAATTGCCGCTCCGCTGGATAAAGGTGCTATGTTTCATAAATTCTGGGGTTCTGATGTAAAAAGTGAAGGTCTTGTGTCTGTCTGGCATAGGAGAGGGGCATACTCGAGGGTGGGAGATGCTTTTGCAAAAGCGATAAAACAAAAGAAACGTTACGAGACAACAAGGGTTAAAACTTGGGAGCTATTTTCTCTTTCTGGCAGCTCTCAGGCAAACCTCTTGTCCCTGATTCCATTGTGGATGAATTCTCACCACTGTTGCCCTCTTCACATTTCAGCTCCCTCATATCGAGGCATTTCTGAATTGACGATGCTTGTGTTCATTGTAACGTGGCATACGTGTGAGTTTCTGTGCTTTAATGACCTGTCGGGTGATTTCTATCCCTCGGTGTCTCTCGACATCGTTTTTCTCTCCGTGCGCACCGAGGCTTGCTTGCACAGCTTGTGGAAAATGGGAGGAGATAATGTCTCCAAGGATGGGGTTGATGTGGTCAGGATGTTCCCGTTTCGGTTGCATCCACACACACCGGAGCCAATGGTTGGCTGCTTACCCGGCGGGACACACGCGATTGAATGTCTTGTGCGTGTCAAGTGCTGCGGCCTCCCAACCGCCGGGTGAACAGCGGCATCGCATTTTGACAGGTAATATTCAAGCGTTCCTTTTTCATGTTTTGCGGATGTTGTCAAAAACTGTCACTTCCTTCCAGATGGAGCAGGTCGTGTTTTAATTGGTCGTTTCTAGTTTCGAAATAACGAATCGACTGTTCAAACACAGTTGTCGGTTGGCATCGGTATCTGGTAATGTTATTGTTATTTTTGTTTAGAAATTATCGACCAATCTGAAGTGTTGAAAATGCAGGAATGGTTGAACACTTTTTTTTTTTTTTTGCATCTCAGAGATGCATTTACAGGGTCAGATGGAGAGTTTGGTACGCCAGAGGTGGCAGCATTACATTGATGTTCTGGAGTCCTCCCATCCCCTGAAATACACCACGAGCCAAAACATGATAACAAAATCTCAAAAGTTAAATCGGACAATTCATTTGACCTTTCCATTAAATCCACCACAATTTTAAAGCCACAAATTAAAAGGAAAAGATCTGTTAAAAAAGCTTTTCATATCCTACCCAGAAGATGGCCTCTGGGCTATTTTCCTCCCCAATTTGTCTTGCAATTCATATTCAGTAAACGTTACAGCATTTAGTGAAAATGCATGAAGCAGTGCCAGTGACCTTACAATAACCCTGACAGAAAAAAAAAACCCAAACCCTGCAGTATCCTGCTGGGCTTACATGAACCACTGCCTCGGTCAGGAAAACTCGGCTTATTTGTAGAGATATGCCTGGTCTAAGCTTTAAGATGAAAGGTCTCATGTTGAGACAAGAATGGAGAGTTTTTAATCTAGTGTTGGTTGCAGATTAAATATGGTGGACAAGTAACAACGTATGTGGCTTGCCTGTGAACTCAACCTAGCGATTGGTGAAGTTAGATATTTATTTTCTGTTACCGGATGACAAAAGTATCCATTTCCCGGTCTTGGGCGGAACACTCTAAATTGTCCTGAGGTGTGAGTGTGAGCGCGGATGGTTGTTTGTCTCTGTGTGCCCTGCGATTGGCTGGCAAGCGGTTCAGGGTGTCCCCCGCCTACTGCCCGAAGACAGCTGGGATAGGCTCCAGCATGCCCACGGCCCTCGTGGGGATAAGCGGATAAGATAATGGATAGATGGACCCATATATTTGGTAGTTTTATGACTATTTTCTTTTTGAAAATATTGAAAACGGTTAGTGTGAATGACAAGGCCGGGGA